AGGAGAACAGGCAGAGATGGTTCACTAATAGCTTCTCTGAATGAGACGTAACTGGTAAGAGCTCCATTTCAACAGAAGTTATTAGAGGGGACTCAGAACAGGCAGAAATGGTTCACTAATAGCTTCTCTGAATGAGACGTAACTGAATGAACAAAGTGCCTATGCAGAGAAATCTCTTCCTCAAGAGTTAGCAGCAGCAAAGCACTACATTCCCAAGAGTAGAAGACATACTAACTTCCTCCTTGAACGTAGACAAAAATTGAGAAAGCTGTTTAAAGCACAGAATGACAGCTTAGCCTGACCTGTTAAAGAGGTGGCTTCGGGGACATCTCCACGTCCTGCCTCCTCCCAGGTACTGGCTCTGCAGTACCGCTGCTGCTTGGCTTTTGGCTGGGGCAGGTGCTGCCAGAACTTTCCCTGGGCAGGTGGGAGGCTGGGGAGATGAGAGGATGGAACCCAGGCCAGGCCCAGAAGAAAGCTGGCAACACTGGTCAGGCCACCCAACCGTTGCCTAAGAGTCCAGAACAAGATCACAGGGAGGGCAGGGCAGGCACAGTTCCTGAGCACCATGTACTTGTGCCAAGCAAGTACCCACATGTCACCTCATTTCACCCTCACCACTAGTCCTAGGAGGGGGGCATTGCTAACTTCACTGCAGAGAGGGCAGAACAAACTCGGACAGGTTAAGTACCATGCTCGAGGTCCCCGGTGAGTGAGTGCAGAGTTCTGACTCAAATCCAGGTCTGTCTGGCATCCAGATCCACGTTATTTCTGCTACACTGTGTTGGGTCTCTGTCATCTCGGAGCTTGGGAATGGTCTAAGATTGTCCTCCCTTGAAGATTTCTGAGTCAGAGCTACAAGAGTAGTAATTTGTACAAAATCAGTCCCCACCTGAGCTTCTCCCCCAGCCTTAGGATTCTTTGACTTAAGGGAAGAAGGGCTTTATAGAATCCCTTGAAATTGTACTCAAAAACTGTGCGTAGGTTCATGAAGATTTGTTTTGGCAAGAGTGTCTCTGGCTTTCATCGGGTTCTCAAAGGGATCTATGACTCAAAAACGGTTAATAACCACTGCTTTAAGCATTATTTGGTCTGATTCTCTCCTTTCACAGATGAGGAAATGGACTTCGTGAATTCTATTTTCTACTTCAAGCTTTTGCTGCTTTTTCTGGAGCTACAACAGTACAACCTACGCAGTTCTCCTCCGAGTAGCTTCCGCCACTTCCCTCGTGCTGTGGAAACATCCTAGTGAGGCCAAATGGCAGGATGAGTGGCCAGCACTTCATTTTTCATAGAGAAATGGAGAGTCCCTACGGAAGGGAGGTCTGGCCCTTTGCCCAAAGTACCATGAACAATGAGTATTCTTTATATGAATCAAGGCCATGTGAAAAGAGTAGATACCAGAATTAGAATAATTCGGAAAAATGACTCTTCAGACCTGGTAGGTTTGGGGAAGAAAGTGTGTGGTTATCTCGTATGCACTTTAAACCCTGGACCCAATAGCTTTTAAGCCTCTTTAAAAATAAAAATTTGAGTTGATAAGAAGGGGCTTTGCCCAGTAACAGCCACCAGGTGGGTTGCTTTAAAACCTGTTAATCTAGTTGGCAAATAGCTGATTCTTTCTCTGGCCCTCTCGGGATCTTACTAACTTCCTGAGAAAAACTTTCTGAACGCAGAAGATGGAGCGCTTTTAAAGGACTAAGAGGCGGGAGCATTATCTCAATACATTTTGAGGTTTTGCTTCCCTGCTATTGTTGACAGTTTTGCTCAAATAAACTCACAAAATTTTTTTACAGATTTTAAATGTTTTTTACAAAGGGAAATCCAGATTGTTTGTACTAATTTCCAGTCTTTGTAGGAGGAATATAATTAAGTAAAAACTCCTCAAACCAGAAGAGAAAGGACCATAGGTCCCTCCAGTGACAAAATAGGAAGGCAAATCTCTAAGTGTGAAAACTGTCAACTGTGCACAGAAGGTGGAGGCCCCAGACTCACTATTTTAAATGTTTCTTACAAAGGGAAATCCAGATTATTTGTACTAATTTCCAGTCTTTGTAGGAGGAATATAATTAAGTAAAAACTCCTCAAATCAGAAGAGAAAGGACCATAGGTCCCTCCAGTGACAAAATAGGAAGGCAAATCTCTAAGTGTGAAAACTGTCAACTGTGCACAGAAGGTGGAGGCCCCAGACTCACTTCAGATTCTGACCCGGTGTCAGAATCCACTTGGGATAGACTGGACTAGGGGCCTGCGCTGGTTTTCCATCAACGTTTTCCCATCAAAAATAAATAAATAAATAAATAAAGTCAGGGATGAAAGAAAATAACAAAATACAAGAAGTTTAAAATAAGTAAATAAATAAAAACAAAGGACTAAGAGGCAATAGAACTATTACCCTCTGTGTGCCTACAGGCATAAACCCAGCGGGTGGAAAGCAGGAAGAACACTGTGGCATTACAAGGCAAAAACTGTCTAGGCACCTTTTTTGGGTGGGGTGAGTAGGAGCAGTGAGGAGGTTTTTGTTAATGTAGAAACTCTTTTACAAAGTTCATTTTCTGGGATTTTAATCTGAAGCATTTAGTCACTGGGGAGGAAAAGAATAGAAGTTAGCTATAAAAATCAAGTAGGTGACACTTTTATTGGGGCAGAATGAGACAGTCCAAGAATGTAGATAGTGATTCATTCTCCATAAATGCTCATCTATTTATAGTGTGTTCATCCTGGAGCTATTTCTTTGTTTGCCTTCTTTCTTTTCAATTTTGATTGATGATAGCCATGATATTTTGCTTTGATGTGTTTCTAAGTGTAGTTTCACACGGTTCAGTAAAAATGATGCAGCCATCAAGTATGCAATTATTGCAGTATATGGTCTGACTGTATGGCAGTGTTATAGCAGCTTCCTAGTTTCTCCTTTTCCCTCCCTTTTCCAAGTCCTCCTTCCAGTGTGGAAGGGTCTGCATATTCTGGCTGTGGGCAGAGGTTCAGGGACGAGAGGGGGTCTTCCAGCTTTGCATGAGCAGTGGACACGGGATCACGCATCCTCTTCTGGCTGTAAGGAAACTTGGCTACACTGGGCTGCTCTCTTAAATCTTCAGTGGCTTTTTATTTTCTTCAGTCTTCAGTGATGAGAGAAATATTATGAAGACATTGCTATCTAATTCTTAACCTTTTTCAATAAAAAATTCCTGTGTTCAGTAGCATGGTTAATGCTCTTGTTTAGCCTTCCCCTCCAAACTGTACATGGTGGCTTGGAATGTTCACAACTCGCGTGCATGGCAGCATAACATAACTCCTCTATTCTACATCGCTACTGTTTTGCATAAAATAAATTGGTAACGATTGACACTTAGAAAAAAAATTGGGTAGGTTAATAATAATAATGTTCCATGTAGTGATTCCACTTATATTCTCTTAATCTTATGATTTATCCCTAAAACACATTTGGAAACAAGAATTCACTAACCTATGACAGAATCATTAAAAAGGGGAAAAGGAAAAAAAAAAAAAAAGACTGAGTTTTGGTGCCTAAATGCTTTCCCAGAGAACTCCCCTCAGAACTTTTTCACAGCTGCTGTTGTTCCCTCCATGTGAGCCACTGTCTGGTCCTCTTATGTGTGTTCTGCAGGCTACCAGGCCTCCACTTGGAGCCTGTCTCCACAGCTCGGCTGTTCCAGAAACCCACCCTTTTCCAAGTCCTCCTTCCAGTGTGGAAGGGTCTGCATATTCTGGCTGTGGGCAGAGGTTCAGGGACGAGAGGGGGTCTTCCAGCTTTGCATGAGCAGTGGACACGGGATCACGCATCCTCTTCTGGCTGTAAGGAAACTTGGCTACACTGGGCTGCTCTATAAATTTTCTGGAGCCCTTAAGTTTATAAGATGCATATATATATTAAATAAATGATAACCCATAAAAGAAGGTAAGAACCTATCAGTCCATACTGACAAACAAATGGGGGATAAGGGGGACTCTTCCTTACAGTAGCACTCCAATGAGTAAATATAGAAGAAGTGATGGAAACAGACGCTAACATCTGGCAAACACTATAGTAATAATCACGTTGGGCAGGAATCATCAAAGGATGTCAAAATGAGTGGGCAAAGTGCGATGAGAAACAGGATATTTACAAAGTCCCAAGATACTCATTAATTAGAAAACAGTAGCTTCACAGCAGAGAATGCTGGCAGACACCGCTTAAAGCAAGTGGTCAAAGTCAGCATCACCAGCAATGGGACGAATCCACATGACACGTCTCCTGATATGATGCAGTGAGGACACGACATGACCTCTGTGGCATTCTTGCCCAAATTCTTGCATAATCGGGATTTAATTGAGAGGCAAACCAAAATTAAGGGAATTGTACAAAACAACTGCTCAATACTCTCTAAAAGTGTCAAGGTCATGAAGGTAACAAAAAGACTGAGGAACCATTCAAGATTGAAGGAAACTTAAGATCCTGACAACTAAATGCATAACTGGATCTTGAACCAGAAAAAGGGCATTCGTGGGACAATGTTACCCTCCTGATTTTGATAACTATGGTTATGAAAAATGTTAACATTCTCTGGGGGAAGGGTCTCTGAGAATTTTTTGTAACGTTTTTGTAAGTCTAAATGATTTCAAAATGAAAAGTTAAACAAATTATACTTGAAAACTTATACATTAGAGATTAGGCTGTCTTTCTCTGTTTGCCAGCGCCTGACATTGTAAAGCCCATGGGTTGACACATACAGCTATGTAAGGGCTTGGTGCCCAGGGGGAAGGAGATGTTGGGATCCATTTGGGACCTTATTAGAGTCAAAATCAGGCTTCTGAGATTTATAGACACAATAAATGATAACATTCAAGAGATATAAAAATATCCTTAACAGGTTTCCAGGGAGGGTCACAGGCATGCCAAGTCCTTCCTTCTGCCTCAGGAAAGAGCTGTGTCCTTGGGAAGCCCAACCACAACCAGAGGAGGGGGAAACGCAATAGAAAATAGCAAAATGTTCATCACTCACTTGTCCTGGGACTCAATATACACGTAGAGATGAGGCTCAAAACACTTGGAAACAATGCCATGAAATGGATTGTCTGGGGCTTTAGGCTTCTTTGGCTGTAAAGAAAAAAAGACAAGAAGAAAAAAGAAACCCTATACTTGAGCTGTCTTTGAAAAATTTCAAGCAGTTTCAAAGTAAATATCCTTTCCATGTTCACTCCTAACTTACAGATAAGAAGCACGCAATGTAACTAAACTGGCCCTAGCTGGTTTGGCTCAGTGGATAGAGCGTTGGCCTGCGGACTGAAGGATTCCAGGTTCTAGTCCGGTCAAGGGCATGTACCTGGGTTGCAGGCTCGATCCCTGACCCCCGTCGGGGTGCATGCAGGAGGCAACCAATCTATGTGTCTATCTCACATCGATGTTTCTCTCTGTCTCTCCCCCTCCCTTCCCTCTAAGAATATCAATGGAAGAATATCCTCCGGTGAGGATTAACAACAACAAAAAAGTAACTAAACTGGGTCTATATCCTGCATTATAATTCATGCCAACTTGTGAACAATAAGCTGGCTTTGTTAGCAACATTTACTTGCTTGGTATGGTGAAAATTTACTGCTACTTTGATAACACATGCATTTTCAATTTGGAAGTGATTCATCATTTGACTGATGTTTTAAAAATTTAAATCCTAGCTAATAACAGCATCTGATATTTATAGTGCTTTAAAAGTTATAAAAGTACTTTCACATGATCTAATTTTGATAGCCTCTTTTTACTGATTGTTATTATGAACCAGGCATTTGATATGAAGTAATATCTCATCTACTCCTCACAACCCTCAATGTAGGAATTTTTACTATTAGTTATACCTAAAGAAAAGGAGTTCCACTGGCCAGGTGGCTCAGTGGTTGAGCGTGGACCTATGAACCAGGAGGTCACAGTTCGATTCCTGGTCAGGGCACATGCCCGGGTTGCAGACTCAATCCCCAGTGCGGGAGGCAGCCAATCAATGATTCTCTCTCTCTGATGTTTCAGTTTCTCTCTCTCTCTCTCTCTCTCTCTCTCTCTCTCTCTCTCTCTCTCTCTCTCTCTCTCTCTCTCTCTCTCTCTCTCTCTCTCTCTCTCTCTCTCTCTCTCTCTCTCTCTCTCTCCCTCCCTCCCTCCCCTTTCCTCTCTGAAATCAATAAAAATATATTTTAAAAGAAAATTTCTGATTTTGAGCTGTGGTAATTTAAGTGGAAGTCCTTCTTCTTAAGAAATACATACTGAAATCTACAGAGGTAAAGGGCATGATATCTTCAAACTAACAAATTGTTCTGAAAGAGAGATGGGGGGAGGAAGGAAGAGAGAAAGAGAGGAGGAGTGGGGAGGATGTGATAAAAGTAAATATTAACAACCAGTGAACCAAGGTGAAAGATTTTAAGAGTTCCTTGTAATATTCTTAAAACCTTTCTCTAAGTTTGACATTATTTTTTTTTTAAGTGAAATAAAATAGAAGACATGGGAGATGGGTGCCAAAGGCCTGGCAGGAAATCCCAGAGACAGTTGGGGAGCAGTCTTAAGAAATGGCACCCACCAACATTCTGGCTGGCGCAGAGGACACTAACGCATGGGAAAATACAGAAATCTATGCCTGAGCAAACAAGGGGGTAAGATCAATTCCCCAGTTTTGATAATGCACTGTGTTAGCTGTCACCACTGGGGGAAGCTGGGAGGCGGGTACACAGGACCTCTGCTCTCTGCAACTTCTTGTGAATGTATATGTAATTATCCCCAAATAAAAAGTTTAAAAAGTGGTTCAGGAGAGAGAGGGAGAGATAGATGGACTCTGAATGCGAAGAAGTTTTAGGAATATCTTATCCTATTTTATTTTGCTTATGTGTTCCCTTTTATGCATGCACGAAAATGACATGATAAAAATCTCCAAGTCTGAAGAACCCATTCAGTATAAAATACAGATTTTTAAATGATGAAAGAAAATGGCTACATGACATTCCAGCACACTCGTCCTGATCAGTCTTCCTCGGGCCCTGCGCTTGACGAGCCCCACAGCACACTCTGAATTTGGCGCTCGGAGAGCGGCATAATCAGACAGAGCAGGCGTCCCCACCCCGCCCGCAGGCGACTCTGCTCTGCCCAGCCTCTGCCCACTAATGCCGCTCCTGGCAGTGAGAACAGAGACCGGCCACCACAGCTCTCCGTCCTCTTGCAGTGCTTTCAGTGTGAGATGGAAGGAAGAGAACAATAGGAGAGATTGCCGGAACTTTCCTTTCTTTCCACAGGGCTGCCTCCTGCCTGTGACTGTGCTCATATTTGGATAATAGGTGCTGGAATTTCAGCTTAAGCTGGTGTCTCCCTTTGCACCGTCCAGCTCCCCAAAGGGTTGATTCTCAGCTCAAAGCATCTACTAAGTCATTTAGCAGTAGCATTCAGGCTGGCTTTCTGCGTGTGTGAATTCTGTCCAAAAGCTGCAGATGTGGAAGCTATTTCCTCCTGGAGCTTGATGGAATAATAAAGGTTACTGTTGTCACAGTGAGGAGGTCTGCAGCTGGCCCCGTTTCCTTTTATTACTATCCAATGTAAACAGATTAAGTCTTACTGCTCGGATCACCAGAAGGGGACATTTTTAACCAGAAATTCCTTATTTCTTCTGCCTCTTTCTTTTAGACTTTGAGTACCCTCATTCTCTTTTCATATGTCATTTTTTTTTTTATCATTGGGAATATGTTGGTAACTAATTGTTCGAACTACTATAAATGCCTCTTTTCAAGTTCATTCTCCCTTCACCATAACCTAAACAGTGGTAGTGAGCAGGAATGAGCCTCACCATGAGGGCACACTGTCCACTGCCTGCAGTGCCACGGTGGGTTGGGTAACCCAGGGTAACCGCTGGGGGCCGTCCCCCACTACCTCTGGCTAAGCTCACCACAGCAAACTGTGGACTTCCTCCCCAGCACCCCACAGGGCTCCTGTGCACCCAACTGGAAGCCACAGTCAGTGGCTGGGAAGAGGAAGATCCTGGGGCTCCCACCTAATCAATCACAAGCAAGACAAGTGCTGGCGAGGCCTGCAAGGTCGGGGAAGGTATGCGAGGAGGCATTCGTCACTGGTGTGTAAGTTTTATTACTAAGAAGCAATAGGCTGTGAAATTGCAAGTGGATAATCTAGTCCGGGGATTTTTTAGTACTTTATTTTTATGCACATTAAACCCCTGGATCAAAAGAAATTTTACCTGCAAGTCCACGATAAAAGTGGCTCATAATCGGACTCCTCTGTTTGGAGGTAACTTGGTCTCCTCCCAACTCTCCACAGTGATTCCACAGTGATGGGGCACTCAGGAATCAGTTTGAAAGCAATTAGTTCTTTCTAAAGATCAAGAAACCAAGGAAGTCTGGAGAAAGTAAAAATCTAGCCCGGCCGGCATAGCTCAGTGGTTAAGCATTAACCTATGTACCAGGAGGTCATAGTTTGATTCCCAGTCAGGACACATGCCCGGATTGCAGGCTCCATCCCCAGTGAGGGGCGTGCAGGAGGCAGCCAGCCGACCAATGATTCTCTCTCATCATTGATGTATTTATCTCTCTCTCTCCCTCTCTGAAATCGATAAAAAAATATGTTTTTTAAAAATCTAATAAAGGTCATATGGTCAGATAATGACAGACCAGACTGGCACTTTCCCTACCACATGACTCTGCTTTACCACATGAGTCTGTGTTCTCCGTCCTTAGAATGAGCAGGTCTTGGTCATTATAACAATAACCTTGAGCTTCCGGAATGAGTAAAAAGTTTCATAAGAAATAATAAAAATCGTATTTTACCTGGCAAAACTGATTTTGTAGGAAATGGGGAATTGTATCTAATCCAGTTTAATCACATCCAGAGATGACGAGCTAAACGGATAACTTTTCACGGCAGCACTACAGCATCTGAGTATTCGACTACACAGTTCTGGACATGACAATGGCAGCCACCTGCACTGGGAGACATGGCACGCAGGGTGGGTGGAGGATATACACCCGAAGAATGAGCTCTACATACAGCTCCCTCCTTCCCATCTGGTCTTTCCTCCCAAAATGTTAGAAGAAATCTTTTTTTTTTTTTTCCCCACACTGGCTGATAGGATGGCTTTAAATCAATTACATTTAATCCTATAGATCTCTGGGATGCAACCTGAAGGTACCCTTCAGTTTTATTCATTCACTTTTATTCATGGGAATAATTCCTATGTCCTCTACTTTTCATTGAGACATCACAGGGTAATGAGAGTGTCAAGAAAGGAATCCTAGTCTCTGACTTCTAGGCCTGGCTTCCAGTCCTAGCTCCTCCACTTCCAGACGAGGTAACCCGGGCAAATCACTTAACCTTCCTGAGCTGCAGGCATTGCAGCTCATATAAAATCATATAAAATGAGAGACAGGCACTGTGAAGATGAAATGAAGTAAAGCATGTGAAAGACTTTTAAACTATAAAGCACCATAAAAATGTGAGGTATCCATGTTATTATAATTATTTAATCAATGGACCAGACACATTTTATTGCATCACTTCAGAACTGCCCCTGGAAATTCTGCTCTCCTGGCTCCTGCCAGGATTGTACCCCGCCCTCGCCATGCTAGAAATACAGGGTGAGCTGCAGAGAGTGTGGCTAGGTTTCCCAGAGCTAGTCTTCCCAGCCAGCCTTCCTTTGGTGGTGTCTGGACCAAACCAATACTATAAAATAATTCTTTAGAAGCCAAATGTAGAAAATTAAAAGGAAGGATCACTAATCCAGACAGAAAAAGTTCTGATTTATTGCTCTAAACCCTTCTTGTCATAAAATGGCAGTGAAACAAAAACACAGTTCTTGTAGGATGAAGAGAGAGGAAATTTAGAGTTGGACAGAAAAATCCGAAGGAAATGAAAGTGCTAGTGTGCTGGGAAAAGTAACTCCAAATACGCCACTGGGTCACCTTGACGTTTCCAGGCCTCCCCAATGGCTTCCAGGCCTAGAACGATCAGCTTACACTGAGCGGAGGCCACCCCCAGCTGATGGTGCTAACTTCGCTGGGGATCTTTCAGCCTTTCATGTCATCACCGGACCAGATGAAAGTACAACCAAAAGCTAAGCCGACAAGTTCAGGAGATGATGACTGAGGCCGGGCAGAATTCTGCTGCCCCCCCTCATAGGCTGATTAAGCTTGTGCGTGTTGCTAATTCCGGTGGTGAGGCTTTTGGGAGCAGAGAGGCAGGCAGGAAGGGCTGCTGTTTCACTCAGTTTTCTAAATACACGTTCAGATAAAGGCTTTCTATAAAGACCACCAAAGCTGTAATCTCTGAATGTGGTCAACAGCCAAAGGATCATATTTAGAGCGAGCAGACCCATTTTCAGAAACAAGCACTAGGTAGGATGCAAGTGGAAGTGCAAACCAGACTTACTTGATCTAAATCTCCTTTCTCCATTGCCAGTTCCTCCATCTCTGGTGTTGACTCATCTTCCAGGAAGGGATTGGTAGATGGGGGTGGAGACTCGAGTTTTTTCTGTTGAGACATAAGAGATAGGTATCTTCTGAGCTCTGCCCATTGCTTTTTCCAAGTCTCTCCAAGAGCTAAATCATGAAATCTGACCTAATGAACAAGAACTGAGGCAACATGACCACATTCTCACCTTTAGGCCTTCACATTGTTTTCCCATCTTCTTGAAACCTTACTGCCCACCCAACGCCACCCCAATCCCAATCTGGCTAAAACTCTTACTTATCCTTCAGTATGCAAATTAAAAGTCCCGTCTGGGAAGGCTTCCCCATTGTCAAGTTTGGGTTAGATGTTCCTGTCACCATCCCACGGGTACATCCCCTACCCAGGTATTTATTAAAATATTGCAACTGCCCATTTATTTGTCTCCTCCCTAGATTCCATGATGGCAGGGATCACATCTGTCTTGTTCCCCATCCTATCTCTGGTGCCTGGCATGTAATAGGTGCTCCATAAATATGAATGGATCAAAATGCCAGATGGGTTTGAATTCAAGAACAAACTATAGCGGGGCCTGGTGGTGCGCACTTGTAGTCCCAGCTACTCAGGAAGCTGAGGCAGGAAGATCACTTGAGCCCAGGAGTTCTGGGATGTAGCACGCTATGCAAATTTGGTGTCTGCACTAAGTTGGCCATCAATATGGTGACCTCCAGGAAGCAGGGGACCACCAGGTTGCCTAAGAAGTGAACTTCCCCAGGCTGGAAACGAAGCAGGTCAATACTTCTGTGCTGATCAGTACTGGGATTGTGCCTGTGAATGCCACTGCATTCCAGCCTGGGCAACACAGCAAGACCCCACTCTTTTAAACCCTCAGTAATGAATCTTGAACCCTCAAGAAACAAATGATACAGTGATACTACCCCTATTCATTGCCTGAACCTTAAAAAAACAAACAAACAAAAAATAGCCCAGCTGGCATGGCCAGTGGTTGAGCGTTGACCTATGAACCAGGAGGTCACTTCTCAATTCCTGGTCAGGGCACATGCTCAGGTTGCTGGCTCGATCCCCAGCATAGGGCATGCAGGAGGCAGCCCATCAATGATTCTCTCTCATCATTGATGTTTCTATCTCTCTCTCCCTCTACCTTCCTTTCTGAAATCAATAAAATTATATTTAAAAAATAAACTATAAAGCTAATCTTATATGTTTTAGATTATAGACAAAAGTCCCTTCCCAAATAAGTCCTTTTACACAACCACAACAAAATATCCTTGAGAAAAATAACTCCCCAGCTTCTGAATATGACCACTCTTTCAAAAATATATTGTTGAGTGGGACCATAGGCTGGTGGGAAAGCTGGAGGCGGCTGATGGTTTTAGCTCCAACTCTTGGCCAAATCATCTAGCTCCTGTGAGCCACAACAGCCTCATCTGCTGAATGAGGATACACTCATAGGACAGTCGAACGATCAAATGTGATAAAGTGTGCAAAGTCCTAGGAGAAGCACATAATACATATAAGAGACATTGATGATGATAATTCCAGTGCAACTACAGAATCAAGGCAGCGCTTTGGAATTTTTTACAAATTTGACCTTGAGATGTTTATGCCAGGGAGCTGGGAGTTCTAGCAGAAAGGAAACTAAGTAGACAAGCAGGATAAAGGAAATTGGTGGTGCTGGGGATGAGGAGAAAGGGCAAGGAATAGCTCTCTGGAGACAAGAAGCCAGGTACAGCCCCAGCTGTGTGGGTCAGCTGGTTGGAGCACTGTCCCGTACACCAAAAAGGTTTAGGCTCAGCATATACCTAATTTGCAGGTTCCATCCCTGGTTGGTTGTGGCATGTACAGGAGACAACTGATCGATGTTCCTCTCTTCCTCCCTTCCTCTCTCTCTAAAATCAATAAACATATCCTCGGGTGAGGGTTAAAAAAAAAAAAAGCCAGGTGGAGAAGGAGTTTCCAATGTGACATTTTAGCATATATTAATGGAGAAACGAACAATTCCCTAAGCCAAGAGGGACAGCAGATGGACTACAGTGTGAATGACTTTGTCAAGTGCCAGGATATAAGCTAAAGATATTATTAAAAAAAAGAAGAAGAAGAAACCACACCTGTGTCTGTGTCTGGTTTAGACTTCAAGACAATTCTGCTTACACTCACATAAACTGCAAAATCCCTGGCCAAAACACTTGGATGCTATCGCACAGTTAGACAGAGCTTCAGCATATGAAGAAAGGCTTGTGATTAATGCATTAGCTCAAGGTAATCATTAGTAGAATAATGACTTTTGTGGTATCCTGCTGAGAAACAATATGGTCTAACAACCAAGCAAATATTTCAAATGTATACAATCAGAACTCTGGCTTCCTTGCCTGATATAGAAAAAAAAAATCCTATAAACTTAAAGCTATTTAAGTTTCTTTTTAGAATTAGGCTATTTTTAGGAAGAAAAGTTTCTTTGAAAACAATATTTCTAAGCTTTAGTTATCTCTGTAAGGGTTGTTAGTAGTGTAGGGAAAGAGGAATGATGAGAGGAAATCCATGAAGCCTAAGCTTCAACAAGATAAATGAGGTACTAGCGTTGGATTCCTGATCCCAACGGCTCAACAGTGGGTTTTGGGATCATATTGTTGAGCTGAATCTTTATGCTCTGAGTCTTTTGGTCCTTTGGTCATGTGGAGAGCAAGTCAGTAACTGAAGTGAAAAGCTTTGTTCAAAATCATTCAGTGATAGAACAAGGATTTGAATTTTTGAACTAAACATTACTCACCTATTGTTAGGTCTACCAAGGTTGACAATAACAGATCAAAATTATACACAGGTGGGCCTCATTTTAAAAACAATGTGTTACTGGAACTCATGACAAAAAGTGGACATCGGTGAAGTGAACCAAGGGTGTTCCTGGGCTCCACTCTCACTGGGAGAGTGTCTGTGCATAGATGTAGGAAGTAAAACATAAAAGGCAGCATTGAAAAGGCATTTGGGGCAGTAGAGCACGGGCCACTTGCTCAGTGTTATGGGTCGGAAGAGTCCCAAGATTTCTTTCCTATCCCCACCTTCTGTCTCTATTAACATTCCCGATGGGATTCCTGAGGGAGTCATAGGCACTAAGGAACTTCTTGCTCATTCATTTGGGGCGCAAATGTTTCAGGTGTGGACCATGTTGATGCAAAAAGTGATTCATTCCTTTATTCACCCACTAACAAGTGGATGTGCCATATGCCGGGAACCAGCTGCCCTCGGGAAGATTATGGTCAGGCGAGGAAGATGGACTATAATAAAATAATCACAAAAACGTGTGATGAGGACCATTCAGGAAAAGTACAGGTTTGTATGAAAGGATGCAACATAGGGTCACAGAAAACTTCCCCAAGGAAATGATGTTTGAGCCAGAACTGAAGGATGCTCCAGAGTTAAATATGTGAAGGGGGTAGGAGGAGTGAGGTGGGCGTGGCCAGAGGTTTCCAGGCATAGAATAGCATCTGTATGCCATTCATTCAGCAGTATGAACTGAGCATCTATCTACTCTGTTCCAGGTACTCTTTTAGGCACTAGAAATACAACCCTTAATAAGACGGAAAAGGAAGGGAGGCAGTGATGGAAATAAAACTTAGGAACTGGAGTGGCCTGGGGTGATCAGAAAAGGTCTCTTTGAGGAGGAGATAGTTGAGCAGAGACCTGAATAAGAAGGAGCCAATCAGGCAAAGACCTGGGGAGGAGCATTCTCAGCCGGGGACCTGGTGCAAAGACTGGAACGAGCTTGTTGAGTCTGAGAACAGGAAGGAAGGCAGGGCATGAGATAAGAGAGGCAGCAGGAGCTCAAGCACACAGCCTTTCCTGGGCCATGGTAAAGGTTAAATTTTTCTTATCGAAATTGGGAAGTCAGTGGGAGTTTTAAACAAGGAAATGATGGGATCTCATTTAATTTTTCAAATGTCATTCCAACATCATGAACTGTAATGGAAGCTAGAAGAACAGCTTAAGAGGCTGCTGCAGTGTTCTAGACAAGGTCCCATGTGGGAGTAGACGAAGCTGGCATTGTGGAGACAAAAAAAAAAAAAAAAAAAGGGGCCAGATCTGGGACATATGTAGCAGATAAGGTCCAGAGGACTTGTTGAGAGAGTGGATGTGAGGGTGAAGGAAAGAAAGAAATCAAGGATCATTCACCTCTTGGCCTGAGCAACTGCGTGGCTGGTGTTACCATTAACTGAGTAACAAACCCTGGGTTTCAGTCCAGGCTCTATCACTTGGGTATGTTGCTTAACTTCTCCAAGCCTCAGTTTTTCTATAAGAAATGTGAAGGGATAGAAATATCCGCTGCACAGAGCTGCCGTGAGGACTAAAGGAGATACTGTATGTAAAGCATGAGCTATGCATATAAAGTTGCTTAACACATGGCCTGGTGCAAAGGGAAACCTCAGTAGGTGTTCATTAGCATTTCATAGGGGCGGGCAACGAAATAAGGCAGAACTGTGGTTGTGTTTGTCTGGATGAAGCAACTCTCAGAAGAGGAAGAAATGGGAGCACAGGGCCAAGAAGTCTTGTAAAAAATGATTCCTTTTAATCATAAGTAAGATCCTGTCCCGACTGTTTTGTCTCTTTGAGATCTCTCCAGGAAATGAAAGCGATGGGCCCATCAAATTACAAGGCACAGGACCACTGAGTTTCTCTCCTTCTTCCCTGGTCTCCATCAAAGCCCTAGAGTACCACAGGAACCGCTACCCTGCTGGTAAATGTGACAGTACAAAGCCCTGAGGGCGGATACAGACTCCTGCTCTTTAGAACGCCACACTAGTGCTCAGACTAATTTGCTGTGATGAAGGAACAAGCCTTTGCAGAGAGCAATCAGCACACAACTCAGCCTTCTGTGCATGAGCCCTGTTGTCAGAGCCAACCAGACCACACTTCTCATTCTCGCTTTGCAGCTGCTGTAAACCATAGAGAATTACAAGTTTGGGTTTAGATTTTAAATAACTCAAATGACATATTCCATGAGCTCTGGGGCTGCTAAATGAAACCAAAAATTTGTCAAGAAATGAGTAATTTTCCAATTTTAAGAGAATTCA